GACACTCGTTACGAGTTTTAACAATGTTGCGAACTAGTAACAGTCACAACAGAAATACACTTTTGCGACAACCGGAATTTTTAGGCTTTCGAAGCCAAAAACGCAAAACACGATAGGAATGACAAATACCGTCAAAATAACGGACAGACTGAATCTTAATCTTGGATAAAAACAATTATCCACAGTTCAAATCACGAGCTGATCATAGTTCGAACAACAATTGAAATATGAAGGACTATATGGTAATTTCGTATTAGAAAGACTCTTCACAAGCGCTCATTCACAAACCCACACCCGGAAATCGAATTCAAACCTTGTGTTGTGCGCGAACACTTAATCTCTGGATCACTGAGTCGGAATATGACAGCGATACGTCTAAGATTAGTTCCTCAACAAACATCAGGAATCGGCAGAAAAAAACGATAATCATAACAACAGATCCAACTAGGTTACGAAGATTAGTCAGTTTTGTGAGCATTCAGCATGCTAGTGTTTCAGGTAGCTGGACAATCAAGTTTCAACCTAAATTTAGACGCAATTCTTACTGTAACTGTATATTCCAGTTACAGGTAACTTCCTTACACGTACCAAATGTTGTCTACAATTTAAATACCGTTCTCTCGAAATGATACAACGGGAGAGACTAGTGTTATCCAGCTCTCTTGTGAATGTATACTGGCTCAAGAGAAGCAAGGCTTAACGCGACGCTCGACCCAGACGATATTGCAACAGTCCCGCATATTCCATATATTTTACTCGCATCGTACAAACAGACTACACACGTGGTCAAGAAATTCAAAGTATTGATGCTGAGCTCTGACTGCAAAATCTCAACGGATATCAAATGAATCCCAGTGCTCTGCACTAAACTATCCTTGTCTACTAAAAGGGAAAATTAAACCTTTGTCACTTTATAGAACAGAATTTAAGTGTCCATGTACTCGCAATAAGATTGGTGGCTTATAATTATGGTCATTAGTATCTTAATAAGCTGATATGACCTAACGGCTACACACTGAAAGCCAACTATAACTAAGAGGTTATTATGAATTTCACATGTACAAACTAAAATTTACCCTGAACTTTAGTTGAGACATTTCGACCTAAAAATTAGGGTAAAATTTAACAAACAAGCAGAAGTGTTTACTACCTCAAATCAAACAAATATCGTGACAGTCGACTGACATTTGTTGCTTGTCTGAATATCTCTGCTTCAGTTTGGTTATATACGCGTAAAAGATAATTCAGTCCGAAGACATTATGAGAAAGCTTAACTTATAGTGATTGAATCTCGATTTACTTTGATGTAGGTAATGTATGGATACTACTGCCTAAACGCCTCTGAAACCTTTCAAAAGTTACTGCCGCTGTCAATTTAGACTGAAGGATTAAGTTTGGAAGCCAGTTCAGTAAGTTCAATTTGTAAAACCTAGCTATGAGAAAACTAACCAGAAAGGACCGCTAAAATTGTGGGGTCTTCCATTAGTTGAGTTACGACACTTCATGGCACTGAGCAAGACTCTTCGTAAGCCACAAGCCTAACGACCAAAGCGACAGTTAGTGTCGGCACGTGAATTGTACGGACGTGGGTTTTATAGTGATCTAAATAAGAGTGTAGATAACAGGACTTTGGTTCATATGAACTAAGTGAAAGTGTTTGGACGCAATCTAGACAAAAAGGAGTTGTATTAATGCTTCCAATGGAAGCGTAAAACGAATTGATGGAACTGGAAACTCACAGCCTTAGTATTGCTTTGCTGAGAAAGAGAAAAGGTGTAAGACAGTTTTGATATGTTTTTGTGTGCGTTAAAATCTACTTTGTGTTGATAATTCGTTATCTTTCCTCAACATTTAAAATGACTTACTTACCTACGCCTGTTACTCCCAATGGAGCATAGGCCGCTGACCAGCATTCTCCAACCAACTCTGTTCTGGGCCTTCTTTTATAGTTCCATCCTATTCTTGTTCATTTTTTTCATGTCTATCTTCATTTCCTGGAGTAATATGTTCTTTGGTCTTCCTCTTCTCCTTTGGCCTTGAGGATTCCATGTGAGGGCTTGTCTGGTGATGCAGCTCAATGTGTGTCCTATCCACTTCCAGCGCTTCTTCCTCCGCTAGGATCTGGTTTGTTCTCTCCCACAGTACGTTGTTGCTAATAGTGTCCGGCCAACGGATCTGAAGTATTTTGCGTAGACAACTGTTAATAAACACCTGTATTTTCTGGATGATGGCTTTCGTAGTTCTCCAGGTTTCTGCCCCATACAGTAGAACTGTCTTGACATTTGTATTGAAAATTCTGACTTTGGTGTTGGTTGACAGACAGTTGTTTTGAGTTCCAGATGTTCTTCAGTTGTAAATATGCTGCTTTTGCTTTGCCGATCCGCGCTTTCACATCTGCATCAGATCCACCCTGTTCATCAATGATGCTGCCCAAATATGTAAAGGTTTTTACATCTTCCAAATCTTCTCCGTCAATTGTGATTGGATTGGTGCATTCTGTGTTGTATCGGAGAATCCTGCATTTCCCTTTGTGTATATTGAGACCTACTGCTGCTGCCACACTGGTCGTCTTCTCCTGAATCTGTTGTTGCGTTTGGAATAGAAGGGCCAGATCATCTGCGAAGTCCACATCGTCCAACTGCATCCTAGATGTCCACTGCATCCCGCGTTTCCCGTCAGATGTTGACGTCTTTATGATCCAGTCGATCACCAGGAGAAAGAGAAAGGGTGAGAGTAAGCAACCTTGCCTGACACCGGTCTTTACCTCGAACGAGTTTGTCAACTGTCCTGCATGCACAATTTTGCAGTTTAATCCATCATAGGAATTCCGTATGATATTGACTATCTTCTGAGGCACGCCGTGGAGTATCCTTGCAGTTGCCGCTACGTCTGCTTTTAGTGCCTCTGCTGGGATGTTGTCCGGTCCTGCTGCTTTGCCACTCTTGATTTGTCTGATGGCCATGCTGATTTCTTCAATTGTTGGTGGGCCAACATTGATTGGGAGGTCCGTGGGTGCTGCTTCGATGTTGGGTGGGTTCAGTGGAGCTGGTCGATTCAAGAGTTCTTTGAAGTGTTCTACCCACCTGTTTTGTTGCTCTTCAATGTTGGTGATTACCTCGCCTTCCTTGCTTTTCACTGGTCGTTCTGGTTTGCGGCGATTTCCAGAGAGTTTCTTTGTCGTGTCATACAATTGTCTCATGTTTCCTTCTCTTGCAGCCTTTTCCGCCGTCGTTGCTAAATCTTCCACATATTTACGTTTGTCGGTTCTGATGCTCCTCTTCACTTGTTTGTTTACTTCTGTGTATTCAGCTTGTGCCTTGGCTTTTTCTGCTCTTGTTCGACTGGTATTGATTGCTGCCTTCTTGTTCCTTCTTTCTTGAATCTTATCCAGTGTATCAACAGTGATCCATTCCTTGTGATGGTGCTTCTTGTGACCCAGGACCTCATGACATGTTGAAGTGATTGCCTCTTTGATCCCCTTCCAGTTGCTCTCCACAGTAGTTCCTTCTCCATTGAGTAGATCATGAAAGGCCTGGAACTTGTTGCTGAGGACTATCTTGAATTTTGTTAGTATCCTGAAGAAAGGCCGTATTGAACTTTTGTGATATTGTCCGCCCCGTTGTCCAGTGCTTCTTGAGTTTCAATTTCATCTTGGCGACCAGCAAGTGATGATCTGATGCTATATCAGCTCCTCTCTTGGTTCTCACGTCCTCTATAGTCCTCCTGAACGTTTTGTTGATGCAAATATGGTCGATTTGGTTTTGTGTATAGTGATCCGGTGAAGTCCATGTGGTTTTGTGTATGCGTTTATGTGGGAATATGGTGCCGCCTATGACCAGCTTATTGAAGGCACATAGATTTGCAAATCTCTCACCATTTTCGTTTCTTTCTCCCAGTCCGTGTCGTCCCATGATGTCTTCATATCCAGTGTTGTCCGTTCCAACCTTGGCGTTGAAATCTCCCATCAGAATAGTCAGGTCCTTTGTTGGGCACTTCTCGACGATTGACTGCAGCCTATTGTAGAATTGATCTTTAGCGTCTTCATTGTAGTCGTTGGTAGGCGCATAGCATTGGATGATGTTCATTGAAATACCCTCTTTCTTTGTTTTGAACGAGGCTTTGATGATCCTTGGTCCATGAGATTCCCATCCTATAAGTGCATTTTGCGCTTGTTTGGACAGCATCAATGCAACTCCTTGTGTATGTGGTGCATTTTCTTCTTCATGGCCGGAGTATAACAGGAGCTCTCCTGTAGTTAGTCGTTGTTGTCCAACTTGTGTCCAATGTGTTTCACTGATCCCAAGTACCTCTAGGTTGTATCTTCTCATTTCTGCAGCAATTTGGAAGGCTCTCCCGGTGTCCCACATTGTACGAACATTCCATGTACCTAAATAAATGGTCGCTCTGGTTGTCAGAAGGGGCATCGGCCTCGTAACTTCCGAAGGAATTCGGCTTTCATCATGAGGCGTCATAATTCTTCTAAATGAAGACCTTCTGACTCCCAGGGCAGAGTTTAAAAGGTTTGAATAATTTTTTCTGGTTAGCGTTTTTTTAGCGAGTTAGTTTTCTACGGGATGGGGACGCTAACCCCATGCCCAACCCTCCTCCTTTATCCGGGCTTGGGACCGGCAGTAGCCCCCGGAGGGACTCCAGGCGGAGTTTGACTAGGTATTCATAAACAACTGTCTGTGCAAGATACTCCAAACTCATTGGTGAGACCAGCAGTAACCAATGCTGAGAGAACAAGCCGGTTGAGGAAGAAATTGGGGAGAGATTATGGAGGTTGACGGAACAAACTTTACGGTACACATCATCAAAAGGGGAACCACAACTCGGAGTTCTCAAAGCAAAGGAACAGAGACAAGACGCAGAAACATATGACCCTGGAAATTGGCGGAAGGCATACAGGCTATGAATATTATTCGGGAACAACTTAAAACGAGAGGATTACTGATGGGTAGCACGTGTAAGTGGTCAAGTAACTTTTTATAAGAGGTATAGAATTATTAATGAAATTGTATTCGGTATAAAAAGTAGTCAAAGAGAAACCAACAACAGGTTGAAGCTATTCGGGTGAAAAGACACACGTGAAATCTTTACATAAGGAGGTTTTGCAGGATTAATTTGAGTGCATAAATACAAAGTTAGTCCATGACATCTGAAGTGCCCATACGATGAGTGGCGTGATGCATTGTTTTAGGGTAAGAACGCCTGGATGGTAAACCTGCACGTCCTTTTCCCTGTGTACTGACTGGACCCAAGTAGGGGAGGAAGGATGAAGTTTCTTCATAAACTTGAGTCCGAAAGAAAGGCTAGAAATGGAACATGAAAGGATGTGGTGATTCATTTCATAATAGTATCATGTGGCACGATGACATGAGATAAAACATCCAAGACAGAAAAAACGCAAACTATTAATTTGAAATATGTAAAGAATTACTACTAACGTAGAATATATTATCTTGCTAAAAAAATAATACTCATAGATTATCACTTGATTTTATGTGCGACCTGTTACCTAAACTACAAACAAAAGAACCAAAAGATATACATATCATTTGGGAAGGAAAAAACATGGTGCATAATATATTATACAGTATTTCAAAAGGTACTGGTTACACATTAATGAGTATTTGGCAAGTCTAATATTATAGGAATCATTTTGTCGCGTAAGTATTTACATTCTTTGAATAGAAAAATCAAAGGTAAGCAGTAAGGAATGACTCCATAGTATTATGTATATATAAGAGATAACAACCCAGGTGGTGAATGAGAAATGCGAGAATAGCAAAACAAACGGTAGACATTTCTCAAGTTACTACTGACTAACTCCATCCACTTAACATCAGGCCAACAAGTTGAAATTTATGATGGCTGATACATACGATATCAATTAAAGTTAGGAAATAATAATCCTGGTAGACGAGTGTGTGTTAGAAGATAAATTAGTTTCTAAGCCCATAAGCACATTTATTAATGTGGAGATCAAAATATAGTCTTTTGTATGAGTGGGACTACTAGAGAAATCTAATGATTGACATTTTCCTGAATATTTCGCTTTCGAAATGTTTTCAGAAGTGAGAGTGAACTACCTGCATAATACGTAACACAATGTACTGATAATGAATGTCGCAGTTAAGGATACTAGATGCAACGTGGAATCACGAGATGAAAGAACAACATATTTTCACAGATTGATTATTAGGTTTGCAGGACGATACCCCATAAGCTTTCTATTTGCTTAAACAATGATGTAAGCAAGCAACTGAATACGTTTTAAAGTTATGAAAATAAGTCTTTTTAAAACGGGAATTATAAGATGCAAAACATTTGTACATTTATACCTGATCTAGGAAAAAACAATTAGGTAAGTTGACATTACCACGCAGAATTCCTGTCACTTTTAACAAATCATCCTGCGAAACACCAGTCGTTAAATAAATTACACCAGCAGTAGGATCAACAGCGCGACAAATGGCTAAAAAATGTTTGTAATAAATAAGAGAATAACACAAACCTTGGTTCTTTAAACAGCAGTGCGTATCACTAAGGTGCAAAAAGTATTAACAGTAAACCCATAGACAAGTGATTCAGATATTTAAATAACCGCTGTTAGAGTTATTTATAATCAGACAGATGAATCTAAAACATTCTCGAACTAATCATAACTGAACTAAATGGACTTAGACTGTAGAATTTCTTTCCGACCTCATTTGTCCACTTTGACTGTGGACGTATTGAAAACACAAAACAATATAGTGAAAAACGGAGAACATCACTGCACATAATAACTTGTTAGTTAATTTTATCGTTTACAGGTTATAATAGTAAGTCTAACCAGTTTGAGATAACTAGATAAAACGAGGCTTGAACTCAAAGAAAACTAACAAAGCATATAACCTAGACATTTCAGTTTTAAACAAAGTAAATCTGAGTTTAATATGTTGCTATTTCACATCATACTGAAATACAAATGTTTCGGAACATTTTTAAAACACAGCTATTCTCGTGAGCACAGTATAGACGTTCCACTTATAAATGGATAGAAAAAGAATGAGACAAAGTCATGAGACAGGAACAGAAACAATAAGCACGAGTTAAGATATAAGATCCTAATTGATCTAAATACTTCAGACTAGGGTCCACCTGGAAGCAATTCCATCTAAAATATCTTCTTTCACAATAATTATTACCAAATGCCATAATGAATGTAATATAAGTCCAAGTGACTCGATATTGTGTGGAAGTCAAGATGTCAGGTGGTTGGAGGCAGTCGATAGGAAATAGTACGCCTAGATTTCATGTCAGTTGGGATTCGTCAACAAGGTACGGTTGTAATCTTAAGGACTAGACAAACATGACGATGATTAGTGATAAGTGGTCAATTGTAGATACTTCAGCCCTACAGGACAGTTGTAGATTGTGAAGTTGAGTGAAGCAGATTCGAATAACTTATGGAACATTAGTTCCATCAAGACTATAGACATGCCATGTTGACGAGTGTTAAGCAGCATGAAACCTATGTCAAGTACATCCTGTAGACTACCTCCAACCACCTAATACTATTGAGAATGTATTCAAAAATGTGACTTATGATGAAAGAAATAATGTGACTAAATAATCAGAAATGGATTTCACTTCCATAAATCGAATTGACAAAACGTAGGAACAGATTTTTAAATATATATACCATTGAACTTATATTAGCCGTTAGAGCACTGATAAATTTCATGAGGAACTGTAATTAGAATATTTTACATTACTTATCATGAAAACTGACAAAGAATAAGTATGTCCATCAGTATCATTTTCATGTTGTACCGTAAACTTGATGTATATAAAAATTCACAACTCACCTAGACCTACACATTCACAAACTGGATTAGATGATATCCAACGATACATGCAAGTACAATCTGGTTCGGTTATCTACAAAATAAGGTAAAATATTGAACCACAAAAGTATGAAATCGAACGAAAATGAACCTAGCTGACGAATTAGATTAAGTCGATGTCCATCAAATCACCAATAGTCAGTCAAATGCAACGTAGAACCTATGTAGTGGATTATATTTGAGATAAATATTTAGGCTTTGTATATTAATTGCCCTGGTAACCGTTATTAAATAAATCCAAACTATTTACAAATTCAACACGCAGCAAGAAGTGCCAACTTAGGTCTATTATTGAGCGGTACAGGTCACTAAGACATAAGTACAAATACCCTGGTACGGCCGAGAGCGGGGTGGGTCCGCCCTCTCTCTCGAAATACTCTCACATGGCCACGCGTATACAGCCTCTGCCAGGGAAGTCCTACTCATTGCCTTCTCGTGGCCGGGGGTGTTGTTTACGAAAATGAGAGGACGAAAAGCGAATGTCCGGCGCTTTAACCGGATTCCAAACCAATGGTGCACATGGGCTCCAGTATCCTGCGGGAACGAATGGCGTATGAACCAATCGTTGGTCACCGGCTACCATGGGAATGCATCTCCTTACGATGCTCCACTGCCTTGTGTGTTAGACCTTTAGGTCAAAGGCTCGGGGTGTGGCCCCCTAAGATAACCACCTGCTTCGGTCTGGGCACCCGGGCAGTATCACAGCCCACACACAAAGGATGAACTGTCTATATCTATGGAAACTACATTTCCCGCTCCGAATAACGATCAAATGATTCCTATTATTATTATTATTATTATTATTATTATTATTATTATTATTTACTACATCATTATTCACCCTCTTTTATTCCTACTCCGTCTATACTTATTTTTTCGGTTTATACAGCAGCTCGTCTTTGGTGGAAATTCGACTCTATCTAAACGTTCTCGAGTCACTGTCCGGTTGAAAATTGTATGTTAACACCGAATATGAGTACTGAAGCAGTTTTTCTGAAACCACGTGCACTATTCAAACTGGCTGCCTTCAACGTTCGCACTCTTATGCAGGTTGGACAACAGATAGGGCTGACTATGTCTTTGGAAAGTCTTAATATGTCTGCTGTCTATCCGAGACCCGTATTCAAGACTCTGTTGAAGTACTACAAATTTGATCTCCATCTGTCGCTTCGAAAAGCTTGTTTTACGTGCGCTTATCCGGGGACCCTGTGGCATCTTCGTCTGGTTTTGCTGGCGTTGGTGTCGCATTAAGCGCTAGAGCTGAGGCAGCACTAATCGATTGGATCCCCATTAACAGTCGGTTATGTGCTGTTAGATTAGAGAGTTCCATCAAAGTGAGAAGAAATCGGCGTGAGAAACGATGTCTTTTCGTCATCTCCGCCTATGCCCCGACAGATTGCAGCCCGGATGCAATCAAGGATGAGTTTTACCACCAGTTATCTGTTCTTCTCCAGAAAGTGCGTTCGACAGATATTGTAGTACCTGCCGGAGACTTGAATGCTCAGGTCGGGCGTCTAGGCACAGAAGAGAGTCGTTTAGGTGGCCGATGGTGACTCGTTGGTCGCAGGACAGATAACGGGGACCGTCTACTGCAACTGTGCACAGACCACAACCTGTTTCTGACTAGCACTAACTTTCGGCACACTCATCGTGGATGTACCGCCTGGTATCCTCCCTCTGCATCTCAAGCCTGGACTCAGATTAATCACATCGCGATCAGCTACCGCTGGCGTGGTTGTGTACAAGACTGCCGATCCTTCTGGGGTACCTATCTGGACTCTGACCATGCTTTGGTCTGCGCCAATCTTACCTTACTTCTCAGTGGCCAACGAAGTGACCGCCACCAACGGATTGATGTTAGCAAGCTGGTTGCAACTTCTGTTGCAAGTAAGTATCGAACCGAGCTAGCCTCTAGGCTAGCTACCACTCCACCGAAAAGTATAGATGAGCATTGGTTGCAATTGCATGACGCCATGAAAATGGCGGGAACAGTCAGTTGTGGGTTTGCGAAACGTCCCGCTTATAAGCACTGGGTTTCTTCTGGTTCCTTACAACTCATTGAAGCCCGTCGGTCTACTCCGGGTGACCGTGAGTTTGACCATAAACGAAGGATGTTACGTAAGGAAATTGGGCAAAGCTTGCGTAAGGACCGAGAAGCCTGGTGGTCGGAGCGTGCTAATGAGCTGGAAGCAGCAGCTGCATCTGGTAACTACCGGAAGCTCTTCCAACTCATCCGAGCCACTGGCAGCAAGAAGTCTGGTGTGAGTGAAACAATCTGCGAGGATGATGGGATGCCAATCACTAACATCCATCGACGTCTTGGACGATGGGCAGAATTTTTCGAAGGGCAGTTCAACTGGCCTGCTGCTCCGGCAACATCGGTCAGACTGTCCTGCCCTCCATGGCCGGTGACGACTGATCCACCAAATGAGGAGGAAGTCCGCAAGGAACTCCAACTCTTGAAGCGTTACAAATCACCTGGCCCAGATGACTTACCTCCGGCTCTTTTTAAAGATGGTGGTGACTTTTTGACTAAGGAATTGACGACGTTGTTTACAAAGGTTTGGGAACTAGAGAGTGTACCAACGTCATGGAATGAGTCGATAGTTGTCCCTATCTTTAAAAAGGGTTCACGTCGTTCCTGTAACAACTATCGGGGGATAAGTCTACTTCCGATTGCGTCCAAGCTATTGGCTTCCGTCATACTTCGTAGGTTGTTCAAAACCCGAGAAAGATTGACTCGCGAGGAGCAGGCTGGGTTTCGTTCTGGTCGAGGATGTATTGATCATATCTTCACCCTCCGCCAAATGTTAGAACACCGCCATACTTATCAAAGGCCAACAATCGTAGTGTTTCTTGACATCAGGGCTGCCTTCGATTCGTTGGATAGGACTGTTCTCTGGGATTGTCTATTGAAGAAGGGTGTGCCTGAGAAGTTTATTAACATCCTAAAAGCCCTATATAAAAACACCTCAGGCAGAGTGAGGGCATACAACCACCTCTCTCCATTGTTCCATTCGAGCAGTGGGGTTAGGCAGGGTTGCCCAATCTCACCATTCCTCTTCAACTTTGCCATCGATGACATTCTGGAAACAGCTCTGATGAATGTAAGTAATGGTGGTGTGGATCTGTTGCCTGGAGAAAGACTTCTCGACCTTGAGTATGCGGACGATATTGTCTTACTGTGCGATAATGCCCAAGGCATGCAATCCGCACTTAATCAGTTGGCAATCAGTGTCCATAGGTACGGTATGCGCTTTGCAGAAGTTCGTGTATCTGGGTAGCAATATGAGTGCTGGTGGGGGTGTGAGTGATGAGATCAATGCACGTATAGTGAAAGCCAGAGCGGCTTATGCCAATCTGGGCCATCTTTGGCGCCTTTGTGATGTTAGTCTGGCTGTAAAAGGTCGGATCTACAACGCGTCGGTGAGAGCAGTTTTGCTCTATGCTTGTGAAACCTGGCCTCTCCGAGTTGAGGACGTTAGACGACTCTCTGTGTTCGATCACCGTTGTCTCCGCAGGATTGCTGACATCCAGTGGCAACACCATGTTAGTAATCCAGAGGTTCGGCATCGTGTGTTCGGGCACAGAGACGATAATCCGATTGGTGTCACCATCCTGAAACATCGAATCCGGTGACTTGGACATGTTCTACGAATGTCGTCCCAGAGAATTCCACGTCGTGCATTATTTGCCGACTCTGGGACTGGTGGTCAGTATATGACATGGTGTCGTGGGATGAAAGAAAGCTGCAAAGGACTGGCTTCTGTTGGACCTTCACGACTCCTGGCTGGGGTCCGAGAGATGGTGCAATACAGTGGCTAGAGACGTTATCAGATATGGCTCAGAATAGAAGCCAGTGGCGATCCTGCTGTAACCTTTTACTTTCTTCATAAAAAGTGGTTGTGTCTCCCTTAACTGAAAGATTCCTTCTGATTGTACCTTTCTGTTCCGCCATTTTTACCATTATTATTATTACACCACCTTACATCAATTTTTTTCTCCTTCCCCTTAAATTCTCATTGTTTTGTGTGGCGCATATATATTTGGCGCATTCTTGTACCGATATTTATGTGTTCAAATATATAATAAATAAATAAACATCAAAAGAAATAGAGCAGAAACGGTAATGCAAGCGAGTGAGTGAATGCAGAGGCGAATCGAGCATACATGTTCATACAAACATGATAATAATACCAAGACATACTAATTGCTACTGTTAAAATAACACTATCTGTTAGATAAGTTAATTGAAGGGATTTAAAAAATTAGACGTTAACAAACTTAAGCGTAGGAGAGGAGCTATACCTAGCACGTAGTACCCAGTTTAATTTGCTACACTACTAATAAGATGATATTCAATACGTGTAACCTATAAAATAAAAATGGCAGTTATTTGGTATTCACTACTTTCATTGATAGGACATTACACATGTGATCAGCTGACCTGTACATCGACTTAAATAAACTGTCGTCAGCTAAGAAATCATATTTTATTTTTCTACTAATAGTATTTTTTTTATTAAACTTTGTTAGAATATTAGATGACAATAGATGTGCATATTAAATGATTAGTCTCGTGAAATGTAAAGTTATTTATACAAATTTTGTTTACAGTAAATGAAATAGATGTTAATAACATTTTCTCTGTACTTCAAAGGCTTACAACTTTAGACATTATGGAATTACGTTATGGTTAGACAATTAGATAGGGATCAAATAATAGGGACTTGACTATTTATAATAAAATGATGAATTGATTGTTGTTTAATACCGTAATTTCCTTGATTAATCAACAACCAAAAGAGGATTCTCAAATTGAATCTGTCAGATGAGGGATTGTACCGTGTATCTGAGACATGGACGAATATCCAGAAATTCATTCACAATAAATGTTAAAATGTAAATTATAATTTAAACAAGTATTTTGGTTAATTCCTCTCATTAGGTCTTACAGTTACAAAGAATTAAATCACTAGACCTTATAATGAAAAACTTTTACCACAGAGCATATGATTAATGTAAAATATGGTAAAGGAATCATAGAAAATATCACATCTTAGGTGATTATATTAAATATTGACAAAACAAGGAAAATGTTAAATCTTTTGCCCGATTAATTATCATGTATTAAGATTGCTAATCAGAATACGGCTTATACAATCTTAGCACTGTGTATATAAACAGCCGTATATACAAATGTAAGGCAAACTAATTTATTCACTTTGTTAATTACATTTTAATGACAAGAATGATTGACTAGATGTGGTAAGTTTGTGGTTTCAACCAGTTTGCACAAGAAAACGATAAAGGCAATATGATGAACACAACGATTTTAAAACTTAAACACACACAAGAGGGAATTATAGATCACTGGAAAGCAAACAAACGTTAATAATTAAAGCATAAATATATAATATTATATATTACGGATGTATTTATATACGCAGAACTTACATTATGTTGTGGTACAACGCAAAGGGCAACTAGGGTGGCATTTAAACAAGCTAATAAACTATCGACACTTGATGGAAAAGCAAAATTTTCTGCAAATAGATTAGAATCTGGGCGCATTATCCGAAAGGCCAAATGATTTGAATCATTCTTATTAGTGTATAACGAATCAATTTCTAATGTGTCGTGCTGAACATCAAATGTAGAAACAGAGCTACTGAGTATGACATTTTTTTGTTCATTTACGTTTCCACATTTATCTTGTTGTTTAGATGGAACAGTAACTGGAACTTGGTAAGGGATACAATCCAGCAAATGTGCTACTGGATGTCCAAGAGGTTCATCTTTTAGTCTAGAAGGTAAGCTAGTATATGCAAAAGCCAAAGTGGACATAAAATAAGTCAGCATCATTAAATCGCGATGATCAGGAGGACCAAGAGTGTATCGTGGGTCATCTATTGTATTATACTTGTACCTATAACAATATGTACAGAAAATGAAAGCTGGAAATAGTCATAACCAAAATTTAGTGTATATCAACATAGATATCATTTATGCATTAACAATAGTGCATCAGTGATTCATCAACAAAAACTTACTGTAAGCAACACATCATATCAACGTGAGAACTTAAAGTAAGAGGAGGAACTGAAGAGGACTATTACCAGAAAATTAAAATAGTAAATAGGGTACTGGTCTGAAAAAAAAATCAGTGCATAATCTATAGAGTTTACACGGGTGATATAACCTTAAATAAAACTTTTTTCTTACCAAATTTATACAAACAGATTTGTGCTAAAAGCAATAATCTAACTAAACTGGTTGTTTCAAACACGAAAATTTCATTTCTCACTCGAGAATTTATATTAGCTATTTCAACACTGTATTACTGTGGTGCGTACTTTAGATAAATGGAAATTTTTTAAGACTGACATCGTGAAAATTTACAGTATTATAATTTTGTCGAAAATATGATGAAAACTAGCTGACTAATCGTGCAAAAGATTTTTGTTGCCGATCTTATTCACAACTGGGAGTAACTAATATAAGGGAGATTCGAAAGTTTATAAAATGGTATACGAAAAGCATATTGGCGAGACCGCAAGTTATGGACGAACCAATCAATTTACGATAACGGGTCTTCGATTTCGACGCGAAATTCTTTACCCGTCTGGCTAAATAGCGTCTTGGCATTTTAGCTGATGTCAGTCTGTGATGAAAACCCTAAATCTAATCTCTATTCCCAACCATCAACTGTAAATCAAAATCCTTATCCATTGCACAGATTTAAAACCCTCATTTAGCCATAATCAGTAGATGGACATTCTCAAGGCCACTTTTAGCATCGCTCAAAGGTCGTCCATAAGTTATAGTCTCACCAATACATCTATGAACGTATATGAAATATAAGTATTTATCTGTCTTAAAAGACAGAAATAAATATGCATCGTGCATTTAAATCATGAATAATAAAACATATTTATGGATTCTAGGACAACGGACATTTAGATCGATACATTTCATCTTAGGTTACAATTGAATATCAATCTAAACAACCTTTATATCTCTAAAAGCAATCACCATGTGCTTTAAACAACAAAATAACTATGGTCACCTGATGATCATTTGTAAGTTTTTCCCAGTGGGATTAACTAGATTGATATTCACAAAAAGTAACATTATTACCAATATTATTAAACATATTTCCTCACGGGCAATAAAGATTCTGTAGTTTGTTTACAGAAAATTATACCAACTTGTTAAATAAGTCTTCAGAACTACTGAATTGAGTAAAGACGAGTTGAACAAACTAATAACTAATTTCCTATTCTGGTTGTTGCTAGGCTTGAAAATGAGCTGTTATGTAGTGAAGTAGGAGAGTTTAGTTAACAATAAACAAACGACCAACAAATCAAGTTATGATAGAAAAGATAGCTGATGATGACTACTGCATTTAATGATATTGAAAGCATCATATTTACGAACTGAGAAAAATGATTATCCAATGTCTAAGAACGGTTTGTTAGTTATAAGCAACATAAAACCTAGTGAATATGTGGATCATTTCAAGCTGTCACACCACACCACAACATGTAACAGTTATATAAGTAGTAACAGTTTTAGTGGTATTAGAAAAGATTAAGCACAGAGGATATAATTTGACAAGAAAATATAGATTTGTGGAGTAAAAATTCCTTCCAGATATTTATGAAACTTAAGATCTAACGGAAAACAAAAGAGTGGATGCATTTCCATCATTCTGACCAATTGTGAGTCATGTCACTAAATGTTTCTAGTCATTATTGAAGATGATCGTTCAAACCTCAAACAAATAGTCTGAACCTACTTAAACGTCTCACTCCATCACTCAATAATTTTATGGACTGATGACACATTTGGTTTGACACTCCTATCTTCCTCATAACTTACTCCTGTACCAGCCATCATTGTCCATCGAGGTAGGCGGTAGTTGGGCATACGTAATACATGTCTCATCCACATCAGTCGATAATATTCAGTACTTCACTAACTGGCTTGTGACCCTTACCTAGTAACCGATGTCTAACCCCAACATTACTTACTCAGTGGTCTCAATACACACAAGCGATACTTCGAAGACATCCATGATCAAATACTAATAAACGACGGATATACTTTCTTTTAAAGGCTATATTTTCCAGCCTTAAAGTATGATAGAAGGAACTGCTGTTCAGTGTAGTCGTCCTTTGATTTGTAGGTAGAAGTTTCCCCAACGCCACATAGTGACAACGGCTAGTCGTCTTTTTCACTTCCGTGCTGAGATTTTATCAGATACCAACCCACGAGGGTTGATGTGACCTGGAAGTGAAATGGTCGACACGTTCAATTAATTTGATGCCTTTCGTTAGTTTAGGAGTTGGCGAAGATCAGTCCTAAAACAGTATCTTAGACAACAGAATTTTAATTAACCAACTTTCATAATTATAGCTGGAGTCCTTGAATAATATCGACAAATGAAACATCCATGTGGTTAATTTACGATTTGCGCTACTTACTTTAATGGTACTTACCAACCAGTTAAAGAATCGTGCACTTAACTTTAAACCATAATCTTAACCTGGTAGTATTCAGATGCCCAGACCATAATAGGTGACAAGGTTCCAAACTACACCTCAGTGCTTTATGGTCAAATTCTTAGTTTATTGAATAAATGATTCAGTTACTAACTAATCATACATTGTACTCAAAAGTAACAAGTAGACAATAACCATAGAACTTTACACCTATTAAGACAATCCTAGGAAACACAAAATCATATATGAATCTGAGGATCAACATTCAAGTAAAGAAAATAACCTAGTGGAGCACTCCTAGAAAATTACACTCAACACAGAGTGATGACTGTAAAAAGTCAAAATGTTTGGCAATAAAAACAACCTGACAAGAAGAACATAGAAGGCGGATGTATATACTGGATGCCTTCAATGTCTAAGACTTTGAAAAACATCACTAGCTATCACTAGTAAACTAGCTAAAAGACTATTATTTATAATCTATTTACAATAAAAATTGAACAACAAAGGTATATTTCTGCATATCAATATTAATTAATAAATTTCAAATATATATATATATAATCTACACAATCTATTTGGTCTAAAAGTCGTTTGATATCGTTACAAAGATAATTTGTCAGTGTTATTATAGACCGAAAATTAATTATATCAGCATATTGATATAAATTTAATCTAATAATTTATTAACTAATTGTGTATGTTTTAAATTATTCTAAAATACGCTTGTTCTATCATAACGATTAACTAAAAAATATATTACTTCAACCCAATTTAAGTACTCTGGACAGTAATATTACTGATAGGAAACTGATAATTATTTCTAAAAATCTAACAACGAAACAAATCAGGTATAGAGTGAGAACGGGATCAATGCAGAATATGTTGTAGCCATACAAAATAACGAAAAATTTCGTTAAAAATATATGCAGAGGAATTAGTTTCAAAGTATATTTAGTCACAAAAATATCAATCATTGATATGACAATCATTACTTAAAATGAAACACTTTTATACAATGAATGATATAACACAAATACATTTATTGAAGTTTAACTTAGGTTTTATACATAGACAGATAACCTTAAATACCAATCAATCATTAATAAATATAACATACAATTTGACGTCAGATTCTATAAGAAGCACATCATGATTAAATGTTTCGTTGGAAATGTCCTGTAGAAAAAAGAAAATAACAAAGTTAACATTACGAATAACAGGTAATGTACTGCTAAAGTTTAAATTTAAATTATTACTATTATTTAGCAGTGAAACGTAACCTGAAATGATATATTGTAAGACACTACATCATATAGAGGACAGAGAACATTAATAAGCATAATAGATGAAACAAACCGTTAGACGCAATAAAGATTTTGGATCGTATTTGTTCATTTAAGAACACAAATCCTGGTACAATAAGGCACCAAAAAAATGAAATATTCTCGCCAAAAAATAAGAGAGAAACAGTAATCAAATCGATAAGTAAAAATGCGGTTTGATTAGAAATACAGCCAACAAACACATCAGTTAAGACTCAACCCACTTTTATGAGGAGTATGATAGAAAACTACAAGAAGATTGATATTCACTTCTATTCTGAGTCATGTCATATAACATCTTGAATAACTAAATCGCACCATCTCTCTGATTTAAACAAAAAAGTCGTGATGGATTGGTAGATCGCGATCCTAAGCAGCTTTTTTTCATACCACAATGACATTTCACAAACTGATTACCCGTTCACCTTTACCACTAAATCCCAGAGTCACTAGACGATGTACGGTATGGAAGTCACTGGCATGACATTCGTGAGACATATTCAAGCAACCAAAGCTGATGTTCCAAGATGACGACATTAATTGAACTGTCAACAATGCTCCCTGAACACACATTACCGAATCACAGCATTAATAAAGTAGTGTTGCTACTTGAGGTCAGAAATCATTTGGAGAAAATGGTAAGCGAATACCGGACCCCCCAGACATTCTTAAATCGGGTGAACCAGGTTCCGAAATCACACTACGAAGCTGTAAACCAGACATTTTATGGCTAGACTAACATCAAGACGCCACCAAGATGATAAAGACTGGGATAATTTTCTTTAGTTTCCACTATATATAGGTTGACCTCACCTGTCTCTCCATCATTAGAAATCACACATTTACTCGAATAAACGAATACTTCAGTTATTTTCAGTGGTCCACAAAAAGAAGTGGAGCTAGACAAAGGCCTCTACTGATCCCACAGTTCGAATACTAGATGTGGCGGAATGGAGATGCGAAAATATATTAGTACACTGGTTTATGATTGAATTTCCATTGTTTTTTAAGGATATGTTGCTGATAAAGAGCTCTTTTTGTTTCTAGCCTATTGCTCCATTTTAATTGGTAACAATAAGAGTGTAGTATACTGTCTTGATGTTTTATTGGAGAAGTAGAAGTTGTGGTTCACTAGTCTATAGGGACTTGAGAGTTAATCTATTGGTCGCGGTTTTAAACTCTATTCCATTAATCAGGGTTTGGTAGGAGTATATATCATACCAGCTCTAGCACAATAAGCATAGTTTGAAGATCCACCTTATTCATATTCATGAATGCCTGGAACAATCCGAAAAACTGGTGAACCCATTGGTATACATTCTTTTTGTCTGTAAAGGTCTCCTCGAAATATCAAGAAGGTGGATCTTAAACATAATTCCAAGCATTTCATAACCTCAGATGGACCTAATGGGCATCGTAAATCTAAATCAGATTGTAAAGAATCTATTAATGCTGTCCCTAGAAACCAGTGAAATCTTGAGAAGTATATGTCCTACAAAGGTCTGGTTACGGTATGTAGACGATATTTTTATTATCATTAAACGCGATGGTTTAGAAGAATTGTTTGAAAATGTAAACAACATTTCGGAGAGCATAAAGTTAACGAAGGAAATAAAATCCGTTGAACACAAACTAGCGTTTCACGACTGTTTGGTTGAACGAAGATATAACAATATTAAGTTGAAAATAAATGTGTTCAGGAAGTCAACACACTCTGAAAGATACTTAGATTTTGGTCCGCCTCATGCGCTGTGTACGAAAGTCACTGTTGTAAAAACTTTAATTAACAGAAGTATTAAGCTCGTTGCAGATAAGAAAGACCAACAAGTTGAATTGAACAGAGTTTTGTCTACAATTAGGGATAACAACTATCCAAAAAAGTTCTTAAAGAAGATTATTAGAAATGAAATAAAATTTAAACTAGAATGTATACTGACAGATTGGAAGTCCACCGTGGTCATTCCATACTGTAGTGAAACTTCGGAAGAAATGAAGCGGATTCTAAACAAACATGATGTAAGTGTATTTTAGGGGGTGTGACACCATAAGATCGGGATTAGTGAAAGTTAAGGATAAGTCCCCAAAGGAAGAACAAAATATTGTCTATGAGATCAACTGTCATTGTAATTCAGCTTATGTGGGGGAAAAATCCAGACAATTGAATGTAAGGTTGAAGGAACGCATACAGTGTTTGAAATATATTCCCAAATCCACGGTTGCCTTAATAAAACTTGTGAATAAGTCTGTGATAGCGTTACATGCGTTAGAAACAGGACACATGAATAATTTCGAAGGAACCAGAATACTTCAGGAAGGTTTTAACTCATAAAGAAAGATTGACAGCAGAAGCGCTGTATATATGGGCGAATAAGGACAGCCTAAACAGAGAGGATGGTATTCAGCTAACAACTACTTGGCAAATATTAGGTATCAAGTAACTACATCCATTTCTTTATTCAACCTGTTTATTTCACTTGCATCGTTATATACTTCTTTGATGATTTTGATTACTACCCTGAAGAAGTCTAGACAAGTTGGCTGGACGAAACGTTGGGATTATTTAAATTTCAATCGCTGAGATTATTTCAAATATAATTTTCACATATAATGACATCTATACATACTATTAAGTAAATGGAACTGACAACCTAATGATAAAAAAGTACATGGAAATCGATAAGGCCAATAATTACCTTGAAAAGCCAACAGAAAATATCGGGTGTCTGTCATATATATATATATATATCGGAGTTGATTTCAGGTGATTAGATGAAACAGATGTCCCTATCATAGGACAGAAATCCAGAATCATTTAGTAAACTGAGCTCAAATTATCTACTCACAAGTTCAATGTACGAATCATGTGTATCTGATTAAAAGACAACTTACCCGTGAATTCCAGGTGTCCATAGTTTTTAATGAACTACTATTAAGATCTGGAGAGTTTGTACGATTATTTGAAGATCCCGTTGTACGAAGCTGAATGATTAGGTCTGGTTTAATTAAGAGTATTTGTTCTAACAGCAGTGTTAATCCAAGCCCTGAGAGTAAAACAATAATGACATTTTATATGCATAGCATTTGAACAAACTTATTTTGAACATTACACTTGATATCAGTTTTAGTTATTCAATACACCAAACTTATCTGCTTCGGCTTGGACACTCGGGCAGTATCCTAGTCCCCACACAAGTCGAATGATTTATGAGGGTCATATCTATTTGGTGCCTTCTTGTACCAATGTTTGTGTTTAAATAAATAAATACATTAAACTTGGTACAACTGGCAACAAAATAGATATAGGTCACACAATTACAGAGATAACAGGGTGAAGGAAATAAAGTCGAAAAGAAGAAACAAGTAGCTAAAGACAGTATATAATGGGAGATACAGCTCAGACAGTAATACAACAGAGTAACAGCTCTTCCAACTAAGGGAATTCCTTTTATTCTTTATAAAAATATAAAAACTACAGCAGGAGCCACACTAGTTTTGTTGAGCCATATCATTTAACGTCTTAAACCACTAAACTGAACTATTTTTCAGACCCTAACAAGGGGGTTGTGATAGATTGACAGATCCTAATACTATAAAGCTTTCTTTCACTCCACAATGACATGTCATAAACTGGTCACCAGTAGGTTAGTTCGCCATCATCCTTAAAATGATCCGGGGGCAGATCGTTTGAGCCCAGTAACCATGACACGAAACTACACTGCACCTGTGTTTCAAAATGTCTTATCAGAAAACAAATGAATGAAAAACATTGTATCAGTACTCGGAAGAATGATCTTATTTGTAATATGCTAAAAGCTGGTAGCTATGGCTCAAGTAGAAATAATTATGGAGAGTAATATAAAATCTCGTTGATTAAAAGAAATCTTCGAATGCATAATTGGGATGTTTGTGTGCCCATTATGTTCCAATTTTATCAATAATATGTCACAAAAACTACAAAGAATCCAACTAACACTGGTATTTCTCGTGTGTTAAAACAATTGATAATTACTCTGCAAAAAAGTATTATTAAGGAGCTTTCAGGTTTTCATTTGGTTGGTGGTGATAAGCAACGTGAAACTTGGTACAGATAGGCATCAGTCCAATTTACTACATTACATTGGTACAGAGAGATGACATTATAAACACAAATACAAAGATGATGAAATTAGTAGTGGCAACTAAAAATTAGAAATGGGAAATGTAATCCGAGAGAGGAAATATGAGATAATGCCGAAACTCGGCACTTAGGGGTAGACAAAGAAACGATCCATTTGTATTACAGTGATGCAACCGCTGATCACGATTATCACTCGGTCCTAGCCAGATAATCTAACAAAAAGGTATATACCATTATTCGGTGACTTCACGGACTGATGACAACTCTTAGTTTGTATTGAAACTGAATATCGGAAATGAAACCCTTTCTGAACACTTCTACGTACTGGAGCGTCAAGGTACTTCGCAAAAACGACATAAATTGAATTTTATGAGACAGGAGCCTCATATAGCGATAAAATAACTTTCTGATCCAAACAATTTATTTTCCAGTAGTTAGTATGGACTAACAGGGTAAAATATGGGATGATTATGTCGAAGTTCGTTTTCTGGATTATGAAACATTATAATACTAAGTGGATCTTCTTTGGTATAATGACTGATCCATCGTTTAGCAGACATTTGTGTTTTATTAATTATTATTTATTTAAACAAATAAACCCCTTAAAAACGCTAACCAGAAAAAATAATTCAAATATTGGTACAACAGGCACCGAATACATATGTGCCACACAAGTCACTTGATTTGTGTGTGGACTGTGATACTGCCTGGGTGCCCAGACCGAAGCAGGTGGTTTTCTTGGAGGGGCCACACTCGAAGAGTTTGACCTAAAGGTCTGATCCACAAGGCAGTGGAGAAGTGTCAAGCGATGCAGTCCCATTGTAGCCGGTGACCAACAATCGGTTCATATGCTATTTGTTCCCTCAGAATCCTGGAGCCCATGTGCGCCACTGGTTTGGAATCAGGGTTTTCTAACTCCTTTAGGTGAATCCTTCATATCCACCAATCCGGTTAAAGCTCCGGACATTCGCTTTTCGTCCCCCCCCCCAATTTCGTAAACAACACCCCTGCCACGAGAAGGCAGTGAGTAGGACTTCCCTGGCAGAGGCTGTATACGCGTGGTCATGTGAGATCATTTGAAGGGAGAGCGGACTTCCCCCGCCCTCGGCCGTACCAGGGCATTTGGAAGCTTTTGTGTGGTATATCAGGGTTCTTAGGTAATGGATTGTGCTGTAAATGACAATAAAGTGTTATAAATATTGATTAAAAAAGGCCTGCGAATGTCAAACGTACCGATTGAAACTGTTTACTTAGATGACGATGGTCAGGTTACGAAGAAACACTAGATTTTCCTAATCAAAATGCATAAGCGGAAATATTTGCATATTGTTTCACGGTGGCTCGTGTAATTATGCTTAAAATTTCTGTAGAATCACTGACGTCGTCCAATAAAGTATTTCAGAGAAAAATTTATTTAGACATGGGTATCGCGATAAATACCAAAACAATAGTTTTTGATTAACGGTGACTAAAAACATACCTTGCATCCAGCCCATTGTATTGACTAGTAAACGCGGCTTTGGTTCAGGTAAGTTAACGTAGGCATCATATACAAAGTTGAGACATTTCAAGTAGAAACTGGGATCATCAGAGGGTGTAATGCAACCGACAAAACACTGACTAGAATATAATAGATAACCAGAGATTCACATGGATTCAGAGATGATGAGGGATTTAGAAACATCAAAACGAAGAACATGGGAGACAGAATATTTTAATGCTTAGACTAGGTACAAGGCGATCAGAATAATTACCTTCACATGCAACGTAAAATATGTACAAAACACTAGCAGAGACCATAGATGATAGACAGTAACTACTTTATTTGGAAATTACTGGAACATTGGACTGAAATAAACCTAAAGACAAACGATGTAAAGGTTTTTCAGAACTAGAAGCATCACTGTACCGTCTAGATGATATAATTTTGATTCCAAGCACAAATTATATAAATTATCTTACTGAAACTTGGTCGGTTGGAACAGTATGAAGCGTGGTATCTTTTATTACAACATACCACGGCTTGATTTCAAGGAATCGTATCTTTATGTATTTGGGCATTACAGCATATTACGAAGAGCCAATTATGTTTCACAAAAGTATGATGATCCTATCAACTAGATAAAAACATCAAATAATGACAGACTAAATTCAAAGACTGCATAGAGGGTCTGTAAATTATTTTTGCCCTCAAATATTAAGACCCTGTCTGTCATTTCAGAAACAGGAAGTATATATGTGTATGATCACGGAATTCGTTACAAATGTGATCTCGAAATGTAAAGTCACCTGATGAAATAAAAACCAAGGTGTGAACGACAAGGACTTTATGAAGTGTCAGCTTAGCACTTAACCAGTAGACATTATCACTCTATAAAGTTTGTGAAAGTTTCAGATTAACATTTATTTGGTATTGATCTAAATTAATGCCCAAGCAAGTGTGACGCGTTAAAATCATGATTAATCACCATTAATTATGAACTAACTACAAAAAAAATCAAATTAATCGACTACAGGTGACTACAAATAAGGGATAATGGGGAATACATTAGTATAAATGCACTTAGGATTGGTAGCATTCATGTCGTGCTTAAAATACCACCAATTGCAGTTTCAAGGTTATGTCGAGAACTTACCGGAGAATATTTACATTAGTGGATAAAATATGAGTATACGGTGGACCAAACAATGGCAATTTGACTAGACACAAACTTATAATTCCATTCGGAGTAAATTCAGGTTGCCCAATATCACAATCAAGAACTGCAACACACTTTTCTTTAAGAGGATATTCCACATCTGTAAGGATTATGTTTGATAAAAAACGCAGTAGAGATGACTTTCCAGCACCCTTCGGACCACAAATTAGTAATTTCTTTACATAATCATCACATGAATCAACTACGGGGATAGAGCTAAGTCTCAGTGAAATATGTGAAACTTCTGGTGCGACCTGATATCCAAGGCTCCCATCATGCTCGAGAAAAGTAAATCCAAGTAACTTAGCTAAGGAGGCATTTGGTGCAGTGCCTTCTGATGGCAGATGAAACAAGAAACGGAACCGTTTAATTTCAGAAAGTGAGTTTAGGACTCGACTCCGATGAGGACTGAAATGTAAAACAGTCACATGGTCCCGAAAGACACTCATTTCTTTGCCAAGACGTTCTGTCAAAACTTGAACATCACTTGGATCACATAAACTCTCTAGAGCAACTTTGATTTCGGAAGATCGAAGTCCCTGAGCTGCATTTTTGTTTAGATCTTTCGATTTCTCGTGTGGGCATTGAGTAATAGATAATGGAGTGTGTGAAGTGGGTGAATAAAGATCATATGAGCTGGAAGGATTAGGTCCTATATTTCCTCCCCATATGGTGATCATTGGCCCACATAAGTGAGTAAATCTTGCTTTACCAAAAATTGCGAGGTGTGTATCACAACCAAGTAAAATGAAGCAGGAACATAAACGTCTACTTGACAAGTATACAACCATCTGAGCTCGTTTGGATTCAAACATAGTGACAAAAAGTTTTTGCTTATTCTGATCACTAGTCACGTCAGTTTCATTGTGAAGATCCTGAGATTTTTTACGCGGGATCTTCTTGAAAGCAAACATGAGGTGTCGACTACTTTTCAAATCCACCACATTCACACGACCTTAACTGGTTTCATCCAAAGCGGGCATTCTTCAATCTTCAGTAAAACGGATAGAAGGTCTAACGACCTGTATTAATCTTTGCAGCTTGTAACACTGTAGAGGTTCAATGTCGTTTTGAATATATCAAAGTAACGTGCTGACATCACGTGTTCTGGTAGACAATTCCAGTAATTCACTAAAATGGTTCAAATGGTTGTAGACAGAATTGACGAAGCTTTGGGAAACGGCACTAAAATCTCAAAATACCCCCAGAATTGTATTAGACTTTGAAGAAGTGTGCCTATATTTATTAAGAAAACCCAAAAATTTCCCCAAAGTTGGGAGCTTGGGAATATCAATGATGTGCGACTACCCATTAAACTGTAGTGACTTATTATTATCACGAGAACACGATTGGTTTAATGAAAGCAAATGCTATTATAACCAAATGTACCAGTGACTGCTTAATGTGCTATTTGGTTAACTGTGCTAAAAACACCCATTATTCTTACACTTCGATTGCGGGCATTCTTCAGTCTTCAGTAATATATCTCGATTTGGCCCATTAACTGCCTTCCGATATTTCGCTTCCGGGGGATTTTATGGTTATCCTGTCACGCGTTCCTTTGTAGTGGTGTTCATAATCAACCTCGACTCGACGCCACGCTGCAAAACAATGACAAATAAAAATGTCTGTGAATGGTTGTTGTTAATAGGTGATACTATTGCTTCTGGCTTTCGCTTTACATTTACTGCTTCAACCCAAGTAATAATAATACCCATAAATCTGACATCAGAAAAACAACTTAACAACGATGAATGGATAATTGGCTTAATTCGAACGTTGATATGATCAAGTATACACTAAGAGACTCAGTAATTTAACTTCATTACTGATATTTTGACACGTTTGTTTATAGCTCTGGCTTTCGTTACGCATACGGATATAGATATACACAGATCCGCGCTCCCCGTGATCCTATTAGCTCACAGTAGCTCAAACTTCACAATTCTTAGAACTCCAAAAGGTGTTTGAAAACTATTAACAGTTGAAATGATTCTTAGATGTGAAAATCTAAAGCACTACTAGGACGGCTTTTAAGAAGTGCGAAGTAGCCCCCAGAGTCCCTGAAGCAGTCGAAGAATTTTCACCCAGTCAGAACCCGACGAAGCCTCCTAGAATATCAACAAGGCATGTTGCGATCGGACGATAACATTGTAAAATCCAAACCACGGTTTGGATAGAGGAATAGCCGTCCAGGTACGTTAGATACGCGCCCTTTCCCGTCGAAATCAAAACAAGTAATCGGGTAAATAGCGGTTCTATAATCCACCATAAATTTAAATGTAAATCGTTACCTAAACAAATATTACCACCCGGCTATTCAACCAATAATTGCTCAATCAATAAAACCTAAATTACAATAAATAAAGTAGTTGATGAAAGATGAGGGAAAATTGCCAGTCACAACAAATGAACGTTATTCTATCCTGACTGGACAGAACACACAAAAGGAGGAGCAAATCAATATGGCTACCGCCAAGAACAAGTGTCCAGAAAAACAACACAGATGCAGTTCGGAAAGAAACACAAATTTAGTGAATGCGTAAGAAAAAACAAAACCAATAATAAAAAATACAAGTATTAACAATTCAAACGTAATCAAAAGACAGCAATGAACAACTAAGGGGATCAATAGGAACAAAGTGCAAGTATATACATGGAGGGATTTTCACCAACACACAAAACATTCAAAATGGATCTTACAAGCACACTTGACTCCTTGTGGATTGGCTGAACTATAATGATGTAGCTAACGCTAATAACTATATATATCCATGCTTTCTACACAATTCTGATTCGTACCCCAATAATTGCCTCCCCTGTTTCTTCTGTCGGCGAGACTCTAATTTAGGGACGAAGTTTGAACGAATCTTAAATGACCTTCACAATTATTAGCCAATTAGAAAAAAGTTAATATAAAGTGAAAATATATTATGAGAAAGTAATGAATTACAGTGGATATTCTTCTTTTACATGATTAAAAAACTTGGTAAGGTTTGATAAAGGCTCAGAAGTTCTGAATTCATAATGCATACGGTATAGAAACTCGTCCATAGGGTTGAGGTTTAGGTTTAGGGTTAGGGTGCTAACATATGATCGGTTTACAACGCATTTTAGAGAAGAGTTGTTTATTGAGAGGCTACAACCCTAACTCTAACCCTATGGACGTGTTTTTATACCGTATGCATTATAAATTCAGAACTTCTGAACCTCTATCAAACCTTAACAAGTTTTTATTCATGTAAAAGAAGAATATCCACTGTAATTCATTACTTTCTTATAATGTATTTTTACTTTATACTGTCTTCTGATTGGCTAATAATTGAAATCGCTCAAACGCTTCTCATTGGCTCGTCCCTCAATTAGAGTCTCGCCGTCCCATCTGTTGTCAGTCAGTCAGTCAGTAACAACGTAGAACTTTGTACGTACGTACATCAGTTCGAGTTGCCACACCACATTAGCACAGAGATGCAGTGGTCGATTCAAATCCCGTAGTGGTAGAGGTAATAAGAGTATAAGCAGTAATCGGGAAGATTAGGGTTTGGAGATGTTACTTAAAGAGTATAATACAGTGAAATAAATTTGAGAGGAGAAGAAAAAGAGACAAGGAGGAATAAGGAGATCAGAATTTGGGAGAACACAAAGAGTGGATGCACCTGCGCCATTGCAAACGATTTTGAGCCATGTCATTCAGGGTCTCTAACCATCGGTTGCTATCATCTCGCGGTCCCCAACCAGGTAGTCTACACCTACCAACATGACTCAGTCCACTTGTCAGTGACTTCATGGACTTGTGCCATGTTTTGGTCTGGCCGCCCCTAGCTTTCTTCCAACCTACTCCTATACCACTGAACATCGCACGTCGAGGCAGTCGGTCGTTGGGCATACGTAACACGTGTCCCAGCCATCTCAACTGATGAAGTTTCACTACCTCATCAATTGATTTGCCATCCTTACCTAGTACCCGTTTCCTAACAACTGCGTTACTTACTCGATGGTCCCATGATATACGAGCAATATTTCGAAGACACCTATGATCAAATACTAGTAACCTACGAATATCCTCTACTCTTACCGGCCATGTTTCACTGCCATAAAGTAGGACGGAACGAACTGCTGCGCAGTAAACACGTCCTTTGGTTGATAGACGGATATCTCGCCTACGCCATAAATGACGCAAGTTGGCAAAAGCTAGTCGAGCCTTCTGTATCCGTGCTGAGATTTCGTCACACACCAGACCACAAGGGCTGATGAGACTTCCAAGATAAGTGAAGCGGTCGACACACTCAACTACTTCACTCCCTATCATTAGTTCGGGTGTCGATGTAACCCAATCCTGAAGCAACATTTTGCATTTCGAGGGGGAGAATCGCATCCCGAACATGCTTGCATTGTTGCTTAGAGTGGTCAGAAGACTCTGCATTTTGTCAGCGTCTTCACCAAATAAAACTATGTCATCAGCATATTCTAAGTCAACAAGTGAACCTCCCGGTAGAAGTTCAACCCCTGGAAATTTAGATGAGGAGAGTGTTATCTCTAAAAGTACGTCGACCACAAAGTTGAACAAGAATGGGGAGAGTGGACAGCCCTGACGAACACCACTTGAGGTAATCAATTCTGATGACAGTTCGCCATAAGCTCTCACTCTACCAGTTGTGTTCGAGTAGAGAGCCTTTATAAGGTTAATGTACTTCTTTGGTACTCCTTTCAGTGACAAACACTGCCATAGAACCTCACGATCAACAGAGTCGAATGCCGCCTTAAGGTCGAGAAATACTACCATTGTGGGGCGTCTGAATGTGTGTCTGTGTTCTAGAACCTGACGTAGTGTGAATATCTGATCTATACAACCACGTCCAGGTCGAAAACCAGCCTGGTTTTCTCTAGTCTGCTCTTCACGAGCTTTGATTAGGCGTCGAAGTATTATTGAAGCTAATATTTTAGACACTATATTAGTCAAACTGATTCCTCTGTGATTGTCACAAGAGGACTTTTGTCCTTTCTTATAGACTGGCACAATCAGTGATTGAGACCAGTCAGATGGGATTACGTCCAGTTCCCAAATTCTACCTAAGACCTCAGTTAATCTCATTGCTAATACTGGACCACCATCCTTAAAAATCTCAGGAGTAAACCTGTCAGGGCCTGCTGCTCTCCCTCGTTTCAGATTTCCTATGGCTTTTTCAACTTCGTAAAGGGACGGAGGACCTACATTAACTTGCCATTCAGGTTGACTAGAGATCGTGGGAAACCGAAGTGTGGCTGAAGGCCAGTTGAACTGATCCCTAAAGTGTTCTGCCCATCGATCCAATCTCCTGGATTGAGAATGTATAATATGTCCATCTTTCTCTGAGATTGTTTCGCTAACGGTCGGTTCCTAATTCCGGTTTCCTTAACGAGTCTGAACAATTGTCTGCTATTACCTATTGCCGCTGCCTTTTCCATCTCTCTTGCTTTCGCTACCCACCACTGTTCACGATCATTGCGTAGACTTCTTGTCAGCTTGCGCTTAAGCTGACTCCGCTCTTCATTATGTTCAGAGCCAGGTGGAATGAGTTTCCGAGCATCTATCAGTGCGATAGATGCTGCTGAGATCCAGTGTTGCTCCCTAACCTTCTGGTTTACCTTACTAGCAGATATCACTGCTGTTTCCACAGCTTTTCGGATATCATTCCATGCTGCCTCGGGGTGGGCATCACATACATGGCTGCCTAACTGTTTTCCTAGTTGTTCCTGAAATATACTCTTAGCTTGACTATCATTAAGTAGGGCCCTAAGAGGTTTCCTTGCAGCGTCTTTCCTACGTCCAGTAAGACGCAAGCAAATACGCGCTCGTACTAGAGCATGATCTGAATCTAAGCATGTGCTCCAGAATGAGCGACAGTCTTCTATCGAGCCCCTCCATCGGTGGCTGATAGCGATGTGATCTATTTGGGTCCAACGTTGGAACAAATGTTTTTCCTTATGCTTAAAGTTTGCAAGAAAAAGGTGGCTATCTGAACATAGCTGCAACAGACGGTCTCCATTATGTGTTATTTGTGCCACAACATCATAAGATCCACCCAGATGTCTTTCCTTTACGCTTAGTTT